CATCTCAGATTTATTCCCCAAATCCAATTCAGGTTTCATCTGTGCTGAACAGTCAGCACACCAGTGCAATAACTGGGAATTTCACAAATTAGCCAACCTGAAGTCACTATTTTCAGTAGGGTCTTTGTGTGATCTGTACTTGACAATTTGTAAAGACCAGAATCCATCAGGAAAAAGTTTTTTGGTGTCTTTTTTTTGGTTTGTTTTTTTGTTTGGTTGGTTTGTTTGGGGTTTTTCTACCTTTTTTTTTCGTTGTTACTTTTTAAATCAACCTAAAGGATTTTTTTTTTTCCAGCATGGTGACTGGAGCTTGTTTAACTTTCTATTTACTCCAAAAGGTTGTTATGGAAGATTAAACCTAATTGCTCCAAAGCCAAATGAGGAAATGATAAATGAACATGTTTGGCAGTAGTAAAGCAAAATAAGTTTGGAGAGAAAGGAGGTGAAAATCTGATCTTTTGCTTTTCTCCTCTCCATCCCCCTGTATGATGGGTGATGTCCTCCCATGTCCATCACTTTGTTGTCCACCTCAATGGAGACTTGAGAAATTTCTTAAACTATTTTTATTTTGTGAATAATCACCACACAGAAAAAATATTGCATGGAGATAACAGAAGAAGAAGAACAAGAAGCCCCTTACTGTGCTGTGAAAGTCACAGCATGTGGAAATGTTCACTGTAATAAGAAATACCTGAAAATCTAAAGAGGGATTTTGTTGGTGTGACACAAATATCAAACTGCACCCAGGAAAGGAGGGAACTGATTTAGTAACATCTGGTCTTGATAGCTTTGAAATATCTGCCACTGTAATTACATGCTAATGATATGATTTCACACTGCTTATAATCTCAGAAGCAAACTGTTTCTAATTATACATTACCCAGAAAAAGGGCCTTGCTGCCTTCTGTCTTTAAATTACTGTTTTTATCCAGACACTGTCTCTCCAAGTAGGTAATTCTATGGCTACTGTTGCTTCTGGTAGCTGAGAACCACCTGAATATTGATGAATTTATGCTAATTGCATAAAAATCCATTTTCTGAACCCTACAAGTTCAGGAAAAAGTATAATTATTGCTGTATTTCAGTCAGAGAAAACCTTCAGAACAGTGGTAGGGCTTTTAAATGTTCTCCTATGAATAAAAGAAGAAAACTTCTGTGCCAAAAATACAGTTAGAAGCTTAAGTCTGCCTCTTCATTCTGCATAGCAACAAGTCTTTGTTAAGTTTTAGTGTCTCAGACACCTCTCCCCATATGCAGCATTGAGTTACTTTCCTTTAAAAACCTTTCCATCCTCCAGAGATGGATGTGCAGCTTCCATGGCTTGCAAACATCTTTTCCGACCACTTACCTCGCCAAAGGCATGTTGTTTCTGATGCCTTGCCCACAGTACTTTGTGTTCTCTCTTAATTAATCAAAATGTTCTTATCTTATCTGCACTTCATCTTGTCCAACAGGCATTCCCAAAAGCATCCGAATTTTATTTCTAGGAATAAGTGTGTTGTCTTATTGGGACCATGTGTTGGTCAGAGCCTGCCCTGTGTCCTCTCTGCAGCACATCTGAGAAACCATATTGATTCATTCCCAGAGCACAAACTTTGAACATTCATGCTATTTTTATTAAACATAACTCTGCTTTTTCTCTCCTTTCTCCCCTTTCCCCTGCACCCTCCAGCAATATCCAGCCTTGCTGAGTCAAAACAGGAATAAATGGAAAACACATTCAAAAGAGGATTATGTCCATATGGAGGAGGATTGACATCCATTTCCACACTGAGAAGACTGTGTTATACCGTCCAGTTTTGCCTTTGGTCATCCACACATTTCAGATGCCTGTGCAGGTGAGTCAATGACTGAACACCCAAGGGAAGGAGAGACACCCTCAGTCCTGTCCCCTCACTGGAAAACCAACAAGGTGTTTTGAAAAAATATGCAGTTCTGTTTCTTTGTAATAAATTGTGCTCAACTCACCTCCAAAAACATCAGTTCAGCAGCCCAGAGGGAGCTCTTCCGTACTAGTTCATCCCCTCTTGTAAGGCTGCTTGGTAAGATTGGGGTGTAGGACCCTGTGGGGTAATGTTTGCTGCTGTTGCCAGTGGGGTTTCTCATCTTAGGGGGTTTCTCATCTGCTGAGCTCCCCCCCCTTGCATCTCCAGTAGCAGCATCAACACCTATGCTGAGCACATGCTCCCCCCTCTCCTCCTGCTCCTCCTCTGGGTGAGAAAAAGGAGACATACGGTCAACCTCACAGATCCTTACCTTTAAATCTGTCCTTAGGGTGTGAAGGACTTGAGATTCCCCCTGTCCCCAAAGTGCCTCCTGTGCTTGTCATGTTTCCACCAGAGACCAGCAGAGGCTGATCCATGTCCTGGTGCTGATGAGAAGAGCCAAGGGACTGCAGGTACTTTCTGTCCTTCACGGTGATGCCAACGCACTGAGAGCCAGACCCCAGCCCTCTCCCACCTGTCACCAGCCTGTTTTCCGCATCAAAGAGAGATTTGCAAGGGTAGATTCTTATATCTAACACTTGCTTGAGGTCAACCAGAGAGATATCTCTCCCTATTCTGCTCTGTCAGGCTCAATCTTCATAAGGTAATGAAGAAGGCCCCTAGAGATTCCTGACTCTTGGCTGGGACAGGTGTCCCTTCATTGTGACAGTGAACAGTGGGAGTAGATGTGAGGGCACCTCTGAGGGAGCTGGAGTTCTCCTGTTGTTCGTAAAATTCAGCCCCAGCCTTATCAAACTGCAACTGTGACTCAGAAAGTGATGTAAGAAAGCAGGGAGAGGAAAAGGAAGGAACTGTTCAACCCTCAGCAAAGCTTTGTCGCTCCTCAGGTGGAGGAGCTTTGTGCTGGAGTGGTTTGGAACAGGGCGCTGGCACCTGTTTGAAACACAAATGCCATGTGGTATCACCCCACCACCACCTTCCATTGAAAACCAGTCCTGATTAGCAGTGTGGATGCGGTGCTGAAATCTGGTCCTGAACTGTGAAATTTGCTCTATAACCTTTTCTCATTCCCAGAATGAAAATTGTCCGAGAACAGCCTCATTGCCCAGATTTCCTTGGAAACAAGCCTTGACCCTCCAATTGTACTGAGGGATTGAAAACATTGAGGGATCTCCCAAGCCAGCAATATCAGGGTAGGAGCCCACATTTCTTCTCTCTGGGCCACGACTGCCCAAAAACCTGGTAAATACCAATACGTGGCGATTTCAACGGTGAGAAAGCAACAAAAAAACCCTGGAATTGTAGCAATGTGAAAACTCAGCTGCAATAGTAGCAAAGTGCTGGGGATCAGGCAGGATTGTGCCCATAGCTCAGTTTTAAAAAAAAAAGAAAAGTGCCAGATTAATGGGCATAATCAAGGCTGACATTGAGTAAGAGACAAGAACGACTAATCAGATGCAAACTTAGCTGATGCTGGCATTACTGAGGGCCTGGGGGCACAGTCCAAGGATGAAAACATAACATCTTATCTAACCAAGGAGTCATTTGTACACTGCCAGTTACAGCACGTCCTTAAAAAAGGAAAGGAGGAAAAAGAAAATATCTGTGGCACATGAAATTATTTTATGCCCCAGAAATGATAAGAAAGCAAAGCTAAGTGCTCCTGCACCCAAGCTTTATAGAGGAAAAGCCTATCTCGAGTTAACCCATTGCAATGTCCACTGTAAATCCCCGGGATGTGAAAAAATACATTTAAAAAATAAAAGTGAGTTGGGGATTAAATCAACACTAGTATAAATAAGACTCTTAAAAACTCAGTTTAGGCATATTTCTTGCTGTTTGGAGCTTCATAGGATACATGGGGCTGGGCTGCTCCTCGGTTCAGTGAGAGTTCAGGCAGTCTGGCAATCCTCTTCTTTTGGCCAAGGCTCCTCTTCTGGCAACACATTCCCCTGTTTCTCAAGACTCTTCTTTTCCTCCAGATTCAACAGGACGTTGACCTGGATCTCACACAACAGCTCATGGAAAGGAAAGACCCTCTGACACAAAACAACGTCACTGGAGAGGGAACTGTAGTGTCAGGGAAGGCGTCTGGAAGATGAATCCGGGAATAAACCAATCACTCCAAGCTACATCACTTTATGTGGCTGAGTTTTGTTTCCAGTCATTTTCAGTATAGCTGATGAGTCTTAACAGGGAAAGAACTTCTGTGTAGAATTCAGTAAATTAAAAAAAAAACCAAAAACCAAACAAAACCATCACCACAGTTCTGCGGGGAAAAACTGGAATTGTATTTCCATAATACGGACCTTTCCCAGAAAGGCGTGGGTCAGCGTGAAATGCAACACCACACATCTGCAAGGAAGTGTGCCCAGTTCAACACCACACATCTGCAAGGGAGTGTGCCCAGTTCCTCCCAGCCTTTTCCATTTTCATCATTTGCCATCTCTTGAAACCTTCCACCGTGACAACTCACAACCACAACCCAACTCCTACTCAGTGGGAGCTCTGGGACACTGGGGCTGCCTGGAGTTGGTAGGAAGAAGATGCAGGTGGCAGGGGCAGTGGGTGATGGTGGGTAGGAGAAGTCACCTCCTCTACCTCCCCTCTGTGAAACAATGTGCACAGCTGGAATGAAGCCTCATTTTTCCCTTCCAGCAGCAATTCAAGGTGTGATCCATGTGCAGCACTGTTGGGATCTTAGGGCAATGCCTCAGATTCTCAACGCTGGCCTGTCTTGACGGCCTTCAGCCACTGGTGACACTGACTTATTGTCCTCACAAGCCTCAAGTGACATCACTTGCCCTTTCCCCAGGGGCTGGGAGCCCAGCAAGGTGCCATTGGCACGGGCGTGATTTGACATGACCACTGCTCTGCCCTGGGAGAGCGACACATGTGTGTGAACACCTCTGCACAGCCCTTCTCCAAATGTTTGTGCAGGAAGAGCCATAAATGGGGCTGTATTGACCCCAAGATGCAATCCAAGTGTTTGAGTCTAGGCCTTATCTACATCACCTTATCAGGAGGAGGGAGCACCGATGCACCTCGGGAAGGGAGGGGACTGTGCACACCACAGGGAATGGCCTCGTCCCTTCTCCCCTGGCACGGGGAGGGGACTGTGGGCAGAGCTGGGTAATGATTTGTCATCACAAGGGCCGGGGTGTCTCTCTTTGCAGAGGAAACCTTGGCCGTGATTGACAGCAGGGCTGGTTTTTTGCCGCTTCCCTGGCCGTTGTCAAGTAATAATGAAGCTTTGTCAGTCCATCATGGACATGGATATGCCAGATTATGTCGACTCCTTGGACTCCTCTTACACCATGCTGGAATTCGACAACCTGCGGGTGCTCCCCAATAACACCGGTGAGATTTTTATTAGTTTCCTCTTGAATAACCTCCACTATCTTTGTTGCAAAGCTGAGATCCTGGGAAAGACAGGTGGGAGGTGTGGGGCAAAGGGTGGAAGGGGTAATATTTAAGCAGCTGATCTGTCAACCTGTGGCATCTGTGGTTGTGTTTGGGCTGAAATGCGACCCTTTCGCTTGCCGGCCCCATTCTGAGTTGTTCTTTTCCTTGGTGTGCTGAGCGCCATGTCCTGAAGAGTTTGGCAAATGCTGGTGAAGTTTTTCACAGCACTCCTTAGGTCTGTCCCCCTTTATGGCTTATGAGAGGAGTTAATACCAATATTTCTTCCTTCAAATGCGTTTCATTCCCATCTATGACTTAGGTCGATATTTAATCCTCGGGAAAACACGTCGTCTCAAATGACATTTGTCTATGACCGTGTGTCCCGTTCAAGTTGTTCCTAAGGATTTAGTCTGAGAAACAACATCCAAATCATTACTTTACTTGTATTTTTAAGGGTTACCAAGATGGTCCAACAGTTTTTATGGCACAAAAGAACTTGGCTGCGAGACGGGAGTGTTTATAGGCAGAGACTTCCGCTTTGTTCACAGAAATAAAGCTCATTATGTGGTATTTAGTTTTTGTTATTTAGTTTTTGAGCAGTCAAAACTACTCTGACATAAAGTGAATGCTATTCTGTGAAATTAACTGCTCACTGTGTACAAATAAAGGGCATTTTGGTCACATTGTGTGAAACCACCGTGTAACTGAATGAGATCCCAACGTTAGCGAAGCCTTTGGAGAGTTTTGGCTGCATTTCATTAAATTTGTTAAGGAGCTTAGTGAAATTAAGATGGGATTTTCGTGTTTGCTCATTAGCTGGCTCATCAAAAGAAATCAGAGTTTCAGTAGGGCTATTGTCCGCAATATAAAATGATTAGACTTATTATTGTGGGACATGGAGGGATAGTAAAGTTAAGAGGTCCATAGAAATTTGAATTTAAGTTTGACTTCAGTAAAGCTCTGGCTGTCCCCAACTAAATATATATTTTTGCCATCTGCAGATAGCCTGTCTCTTATTTCTTATCCTTGCAGAAAGGTTTTCCACCTCCCATCCTACTCCAGAAATGATATTTAACACAGATGTTTCTGTCGCTTGCTGCCGAACAACAAGATACTTTTAACTTTTTGAAGTGGTACAGATTTCCTCAAAATTCAAAATTGTTTTGCAAATGAACCACGAAAGCCTGTTTGGGGCTCTCTGGTGATTCATGCAGTGGAACTGACAGGTTGAGTCTTTTCTGAACTTTATCGGGATTGTGTTATTTGTTGAGCTGTTAATGAGTAACTGGTTCTCTCGGGAACGAGCTGTTTTGAAATTAGCTTGTTTGTCTTGGGTAAGTGTCCTCTTCTACAGTTTGTAAAAATAACTTCAAAAAAGACCTGAAGTGTCTATGCATGGAAATATATTGCCTACCAGATGAATTCAATTCCCAGGGGTAACTCAAAATCACACTTCCCTCTGTAGCTTCAGAAATAATTTAAAATTTGTTAGAATCAGGAAATAATCTCATTTTAGATACTTTTACAATTATACTGGATTGTTTTAAGCCATATTTTTCCCAAGACTTGTGTGTATTTTTTCCCCTACTGAATCTAATGGCAGCTTTGCCCTCTATAAACATGAACAGGAAGGGATGCAATATTTATTTTAATGGATTCAGGGCAGTTTCTTACACTCTGAACAATTTCAAATGTGAAAATTAGAATATTTTCAAATAAGATCATGCTTTCTTGAAGCCAACTCTTTCCTTCTTTGGAACATTATCAAAAATTTGGGTTGATTAGTGCTGTGGAGCATCTTGGGTGCTGAGCTTTCTGCTTCAGGAAGCTGCTGTTGGTCTGAGATTTGCCTAGATATGTGTTTTGAATTTTCCACCTTTAAGTAGCCCATATTTTGCCAAATATTTTGAGACTAATTCAAAATAAGGAATAGGATCCATTATAGGAGGAATATAACAAATTGCCTGGTTTAAACAGGAAGAATGGCAAAAGGAAACGAACAAAAATCAACGCTAATTTCCTCTTTCCTTTATAAATTATGTGTTGTACCAGCAGAATTTTCCCATTCTATACAAACTTCTTTCCTTTACCTTGGCTGGTGTTGCAAGCCATATTCTCACTTAGTTTTTATGTGTTGTTAATACCCCTTTCCTCATGCTCTTGTCAGAGTTGTCTCATTTTGCTTAAAACATGAAGCATTATTGCAACTCTGCACTCATTCTTTAGTTGAGGGAGTGTTTTCTCCCACGGTGGAGCTCGTTTTCCTGTTTCAGCACTCAACCACCACACTGATCCTTGGGACTTTGGCACAGGGTTGGTGAAATACCTTTCCCAGCCCCCCTGCTGACCCAATTCAGACCACAAAAAAGCCACCAGAGATGTTTTGGCAGCACTTGGTCGTCCCTCAAGCTGCAGGTTGTGCCCGGGAGGAGCTCTGGCCTTTCTGGCTGGCCTCGTCATCATTGATCCTGTAGGATTCGGGAACACTAAATCAAAGCTATGTTTTAGATCTCAAAACCCCCTTGTATTTGCTAAAAGCTGCTGTAGAAAGCCGCTGACCTGCCTGGGTTTCAGTGCTAACCCCCACCCTGCCCTACATCTGTGTGCACAGGTTTTGCAATGCTGGCTTTGACCACCAATTTTGACTGTGTGTGCAAACCCACGTTGGGGATCTCTTCACATTCTAGCCCAGCACTTGGAATTCAGGGATTTCTTAGCTGCAAATTACGTGCATCAAGACTGGCTTGGATTGCTGGGTAGATCAAAGCAAAAGCCATTCTGGAAAGTATTGCAAGACCATTCTCTTTTATACAATGTGCATCTAGAAGAGATGTAACCAGTAATACAGCTGGAAGGAAAAGCAGGAATTAGCCAGATATTATGAGAACATCCTCACTGTCATTTCCTATCACTGCAAAACTGGCATCACCATTTCAGCCCTGGTTAGGTAATGACTTACAAACAGAGGCAGTAGGTACCAAAAATTGGGATGTATTTCAGTTGTGAGCTTGGCTGATCCCAAAGCTGGTGAAGCCACTGGGATACTCTCATCAGCATTAGGGGTGTAACTCCCAACCTACATGCTGATCATATATAACTCATAAAAAATATTTGAAATTCAGATTTTTCTGCCAGTGACCCTTGAGACCAGTCCTAGTGAGAAGCCTGGACACAACCACGAGTCCTCAGCTCAGCCTGGGGCCCACACAAGGTCAAAAGGAGTTATGGCCTCTTTGTGGAGAATACAACTTGCATCTCTCCAGTGGAAATTCCAGAGGCATTGTGGCATGGCTTAGGAACTGTTCTGTTTACTGTGGTGATGAGCATCTATAACCAATATATAACTCTCAACATCCCTTTCTAAGGTGGTGAGGACAGTTGTGAGCTTGGCACAGTTGTTGTGAGCCAGGTGGGTCCTGGTCAGATCCATCCTAGTAGCCCTCAAGCCCAGCTCAGGGTGGTGCTGAGCTCCAGGTATCAAAGAGGCACAGAGTGGGAAATGAAGCCCTGAGCAGGTTATCACCTGGTGTCAGGCAGGGATGGAGTGAAGGAAGCAGATTTCACAGGCAGGGGGCTGTGCTGGCAGGGATCCTGGCCTTCCTCTGCCTTTTCTCACAGTGGTCAATCCAGGGAAATCCCAGAATTCCCCAAATACCAGGCAGGTTTGAAAGCTGCATCAAAATATTCTTCTGGTGCGTGGGATACCAGTTGTGCCTTTGCTGTTCTCTGAGCTAATTCTCATTTGGAACTCATCATTGGTTGGTGACAGGATTTTATAATTAAAATTTATCATCATAATTAACATGTGCATTCTGGCTTAGGGCTTTCCTTTTCTTTAGTGTGGTTTTTTTCTTTTTTATTATTTCACGTTCAACCAAGATGAAAAGGACACGTGGCTCCTGAGCAGGGACTGAACTTTTAGCTGTGTAACACCCAACTCGCAGTTTGTCTGTGTTTCCACGGGTACAAGTGAGGGCAAAATTTGGTTTACTAATTTCCATGGGCCCTCGCACACACAGTGCTGATGGTCCTTCCTCCAGTAATACTTGGTTTAAGGCCAGATTTTTAATTTCTTCCTTCTATCAGCCAGCAGGTCCTCAAATGTCTTTACTCACATAAAGGAAAAAAAGTCTTTTCTGGTGAGAAAATACTTTTCAGCACCAGGAACATTTTGCAGTCCGTACCTAACTGAAGGTTCATTGGAGACCCAAACTGGATGACCTTGACTTGATTCCCCTGAAGTCACTAGAGAAAGCACGAGTGGAGCTAAGAGGAAATTGGCCTTCTTATCTTTATTTTTGTTGTGCAATTTTTTAAATGGAATCCAGCACACTCAGCATGTTTGTTTATGGTCATATGCTCCTTCAAAAAATAGATGGAGCAACAGATGCACATATGTTTAGCAGCACAGTTATCCTCAAGGGAATATTGTAGTACAGCTCATTTAATACTGAGTTATTAAACAAAATGAAATGAAGAATCATTGCAAAAAAAACCCTAAAAATCAATGTAAATTACCCTTAAACAGCTCTGACGTAGACAATGTTCCCAAAGGATCCAAGTGTCACTTACTGACAAATGTCAGAGCTGGGACCATCTTACACAGATTTTGGAAGCAGGTAAATCTCAATTTCTGCATTATGACCTAAGAATGACTTTAATGCTGTCATTCTTTCTTGTCATGTTGCTCCCATAATGCTACAACCTACTTGTTTATTCATCCATACATCAGAAGGTGAATAAAGACCAAAAGGGATTTTTTTAGGGACTGAGGGGAATTCTGACCTTTGCATTTGTGAAGTCTTAGCTAAAAATGTCTTAGTCTCAGCCTTACCTAAAAAACTTTCCAGTTTTTGAAAAACTAAAGCTTTATTGGCTGTATTATTTTTGGGGGGCTTTTGATTACAACTTTCATTGCATAGCAAATATTTTCACTATAAATTTTTGATGTGTATTCATACACAAAAATAGCCTTCTCTCACTCTCTGTATATACACATGTTGTGTGTGGATTACCCAGGGCTATTTTTATGCCTTATGGATTAGAAGATTCCCTCTGGGCTGTCCAGACCAGATGACAATTCCTCCCCTTTGAGTAATTTTCTCAAAGATTTCTCATTGCTCAATACAACATCAGCTGAGCTTTCCTCATCGCTGCCCATCTTTTCTGTCTCATCCCAGAGACACGTCAGGACGTGTCTTTGTCCCTGAGACTTTTTCAAGGTCACTGTAGCAGGAGATCAGATCCCCTGGAGTGCAGAACCTGCTCCCAGAGGTGTGATAAATTCATAAAACCATCCTGCAGTGAGTGCCCCGGTCAGGGCAGACTCCACAAATATTCCTCCTGTTGGTGAGATGTAAACACTCATCTGCGTCTTCGCAAGTGTCTCCTTATTTTTCCATCCCCAAGCTGGGCCTCAAATTAGGAGGATTAAGAGGGCAGCGAGTCTGGTGGTTAAAGCCGAGGGAGAGGTTCCAAGGGGAGTCTTCAGCAGTGTGTACACACAGCCCAGGGCAGGCAGGGGCAGAGCTATTCCTGCCCCAAATGAGGGGGTGCAAGCGGAGGACATGACAGAGGGCATTCATATGACCTAATTTTAGGTCCCTAATTTAGAAGGTTGATCTTCTTGCACACCTCTGTTGCTTTCCAGTGGAAAGCAATGAGCTCTTCAGAGGGAATTTCAGAGCAGGAACCAGACTTAGAACTAAAGTGATCCCTGTGGGAGCTGCTGTCTCTGCCTTTCAGCTGCAGAGGAACTCTCAAGAGCAGCCTTTTATCTCCAACACCTCTGTCATTGCATGAAGCAGTTCATCCTTTGTGCTCTGCTACCTCTGCTCTGCTTTCTATTTATTCAAGTTAAGGAGTTTTTGCCCATTGTCCTCTGCAGATGCCAGCTTTGAACCATGTTCTCCAGGTGACTAATTGAGGAGATGGCTCTCCATCCCTCAAAAACATGTATCTCACATCCAAGTGAGGTTTCTCTAAATCTATCAAAAAAAGAGTAGTGATAATTGATAAATTCTCACAAGCAGTTTGGGTTAGGCAGCTTGAAATCCCTCTTTTCACCGAAGCAAAGGAAAACGTTGATGGCAGAAGCAAAGCAGCTGAGCTGCTCTCAGGTGAGGCTGGGAAGAGCACGACCATCAGTTTGGAGGCTTTTCCAGCGTGTGTGGGGCTGGCTCGGTGCTGTTTGCTCGCACAAAGCACCTTGGCTGGCTCTGGTGTCCATCACGGGTGGGTGGTCTAATGGTCCCTGTTCTCTGCCCACAGAGGCCATCGCGGCTGAATCAGCAAACACCAACCTGCTCCCCAACGGCGTCAGCTCCCTGTGCTCCATCTGTGGGGACCGGGCCACCGGCAAACACTACGGGGCCTCCAGCTGTGACGGCTGCAAGGGCTTCTTCAGGAGGAGCGTCCGCAAGAACCACGTCTACTCCTGCAGGTACCTGCCCCCGCTGCGATCAAAATGCAATTTATAGGCGCTGCGAATGATTTGGGGTGGAGAGATCAGGCTGAACGAAGAGGCCACTGTGTCAAATGCCAAATTGCCATGCCATGGGTGCCAGCAGTAGAGCTGTAGTTTGGTTTATGGCTGGAGGACAGGGAGATGAGGAGTAAACTCAGTCCTATCTCATCTTGGACCCTGAGGCCTTCTGTGGCACTGAGAAATCCCTTTAGTGAATTCAGCATCACTGCTTTCCCCATGGTGCAAATCAATGGAAAATCGTAGACCTGAGGTTTGACTGGTGTGTAAAATACATAAATACAGGCCCTGAGTGTGGAGTGACACCATGACCTTGTCACAGCCCAGCAAGGGGAAGCCAAAGTGGCAAAGGACCAAAGCTCCAGAGATTTCATCTCAAAACCAGTTTGTCTTGATTTTTCCTGTAAAAAACAACAAGCATCCAAGAGTCTGTCACCTCCAAAGCCTCCACACATCCCTCCCCTCACAGCTTCTCCATTTTTGTTTTGAAATAAAATAAATGATATACACTGATGATTTTATGATCATTCTGAGAAATGAGCGTGGACCAGAGATGATTCACATCCACTTTGGCACAGGTGTGCATTTGAGAGGATTTTTTGACCAGGAGGAGGCTATAAATTATAAATCTGCTATCTTGGTTGACCTTAGGAAAAAGGTGTTTATTTTAGCATAGGAGAAAAGGGGAAAAAAAACCCAAACCTGGACACACTCAAATCCTTAATCTCTAATTAAAACCTGGAAGTTTTCTTTCTGTTCCAAAGCTCTTCCTCCTGTAAGGGCGTTCCAAATTTTTCCAGTGTGAGTCATCCTAATTGTTCAAAATGTTCCTGGTGTCCTTATCACTCCAGGGCACATCAGCCATGAAAAACACCTGGGGTGACACCAGTGTCTACCCACATGGTGCCCATCCCATGAACCGTGGGATTCCTGAGGGAGGAGACTGCAACTACTACTGGTTTCTTTGGAATTTCAGCTATCAGTCTCCTGGGAGTGGAGTTGCTGCCCCTTCCCAGGAATCCATGAATGTCTGTGATACTTGGCAGCTCAGGGAAGATCCACAGCGTTGAAGCCAAGGAAATGGCCAAGCTTGTCTGCAAGTCCTTATTTGGTGAGCTGTGCTGCATTCAGCCCAGCTTGGAGCTCTGGTACATGAAGTAACTGAAAAGTCTTTGGGCCTTTGTACCTTTGGCTTTTAACTAGTCTGGGAAACTGCCCCTGCATTTACAACCTGGTGATGGTCCCGGAGCAACCCATGTCATCTCCTGTCTGCACAGCAGATTCCTCTTCCATTGCTTCACCCAACATGGCAAAAGCTGCCAAATCTGCCTGGGCCATCCCTTGAACAGCACAGAGGTTCCTAAATCCCCACAGAAATGAGGATGAATTAGGTGGCCACGTGCCTCGAAACAAGGCCACAGACACAAAGGGCTTGTGGTCCATAATGCAGTTATTGTACATGAAATGGGACAGATAACAAGGAAGTCAGACAAACCCTGACACCAAATACCCAAAAACTGTCTGAAAGTGGGAGATGGAGCTCCTACAGCAGCACAACTCCAGTCACAGTCATGCTTTCACAGCCAAAACCATCCCAGTCCCTGCAGGGTGGGTGGTCTGAAGTCGCTGTGCTCCCATCTGGCAGGAGCAGCGCTGGGGAAGATGAGGAGCTGGGCCAAGCCAATGTTGATCCAACCCATTTCTTGCAAATCTTTGGCTCTTCTCTAGGTTCATGAAGAAGATCAGGGAGGTCTGGGGCTGTATTTGAGGGTGCTCAGTGTGAGGGGGTTGCAGATGCCAGGCTGGTTGCTCCATGTTTTCTTTCCCATCTCCTCCCAGGTTCAACCGACAGTGTGTGATAGACAAAGACAAGAGGAACCAGTGCAGGTACTGCAGGCTGAAGAAGTGCTTCAGAGCTGGCATGAAGAAAGAAGGTAGGTGCAAAGAGACATTTCCAAAATGCCTGTTGCTGTCTCAGACCTTGCTCCCACCTCAGAGTGTTGTGGAGAACAGCAGCAGCCCTGGCTGGAGAGATGATGTTTTTTTTATTGCAGTGAGAGACTTTTTTGTTGTGGCTGAAAGCCCCACTTCCCATTTTATCTCAATTTCAATGAGAGCCTGGTGACATTATTCACCCCTCCTGGGAGGCTGGAAAGTAGTACTGGGAAAGGGATGAGCTTCCTCGGGGTTTGTTTGGTCTCTAAGTGCTTTAGAGCAGCAATTTCCTCTCTCCGTACCTGCCAGTGTGACTCCTAATCCCAGCTGTGCCAATCTCAGTGAGGATCTGCCATTCTCATAAATGCCATCAGTTGACTGCCTCAGATGGTGTGGTAGACTTGGCTGATGCTTGTGTAGCTTCCTGCAACTCTCAGGGCAAGGTACAGCCTGGGCACGATCCTTTCAGTGCCAGAGCTGGTCCTTGGTGGCACAGGGCACATGGGCAGCGCTCCTGGAGGAGATGACTCAGGTGTCCCCCGAGCAGGGATGTGAGTCAGAGCCAAGCCCTTCAGTTATTCTGTCCTCGTGGTGGTTACAGCATGGCCATGAGCCACCAGTAGCACCAGTACTGAAGGGCCAATCCAAACTTGGCCAACGCCTTTCGCTGCACTTCCCACTGCCTGTATTTGGGAAGGAGTGGGAGTTTTGTAGGTTTGGGTACCAGTGACCATCAAGTACCCTTTCAACGCACTGAAGGAAACACTGAGTGTCACAGGGACTAATGCTAAGCATGAAAAAAACCACTCTGTTAACCTGTGCCTATATCCGGCTTCTCTGGGAAAGTCTGGGGCCTATCCCAGCATTGCTGGTCCCTGCTCATCCAGTGTTTTCATATTGGGAGAGCATGGATGATACTGTTTTACTGATTCCAAGCTTTTCGTGCTTGTCCACTGAGTGTTCAGCAAAGTGGGGACCCGACCCACAATGGGTGGTACCTCCCCGTGATGTGTCAGTGGTTGGGTGGGTGGTGGTTTCAACACTCTCCACCCTGTATTTGTGCTGGTTTCCAACCCACTGACAGCTGAAAGATGAAGGAGGTAGAAAGGAGCTTGAGAGTTTCTTTCCATGTCACCGAGTTCGCTCAAGGGGTGAAATTGTGGTCCCACTGAAACCAAGGGGAAATTTGCCACTCATTTCTGGTAATTCATAAGATTTCGCTGGTGATGAGACAGTCTTTCCAATGTTCTGGCCATATGTTTTCCTGGAGAAGAGTGTCTTGAAATTTGGCATAAGCCATGGATGTAGCAAAAATGCCTACTGGTTTAATTCAGGAGAAATGGAGTAAATACAGCAGATGAAAAAATAATTAGAGTTTAAATTAATTAAGGCCAAACTAAAGCTGATCTGGTCAATTCTAGATGGGGATAAAGCCGATTGCTGATGCAGCTCCAGCGCTTGGAAAGGCTGAAATCTGGTTATCAGCTCTATTCTTTGAGCTGAAGCATGATTTTTATTGGGTTTTATGGTAAAAGTTATAAAACCTTGGCTCAGGCCTTCATCACTGATTGCAGCTTGATGGAAGATGACTCATTTCAAGTTCCACATGGTCACATTCTTAGAAACTCTTTTATGAGTGCACAGTCAGGTTGTGTGCTCACAGACTGCTCATGTGTTTAAGAAGGAGGATTTTAAAGCACCTTGAGCAAGTGCTTTACAGAAATCAGCTTAGCTGACCAGAGATATATCCCAAGCACGTGTGCAGGAGTGGGAAATAAATTTTCTTGCACAATTGTGTGCACAAAAAGAACACAGCTGTTTGCCTTGGGGTGGTTCTAGATTAATATTAAACAGAATTGCGAAGCTTTAGGGAAAAAGAGAAGCCATGCCTTGGATAGGGTTCTATTAGGAGGATACAAATATTTGTACAAAAGCTTTTGGCAGCGTGCACAGATCTGTGTTGGGAGGTGGCAGTGGTGACACCCACAGTCGCTGTGCTCTGTGAACCAAGAGCTTGACACTCTTTCCCTGGCACATCCCTTTAGAGCCAGCCCCTGTAACAGCAATCAGACTTTCCAGGGTGTGGCAATAGCATTGTTTACCCACAGCAGAGGGGAAGAAGCTGGAAATGATCCTTTTCCCAGGGAAAATACACCTGGGATGGGGTAAGCCAGGGCTGTGTCACCCTCACAATGACGGTGCCCCACTGACCCACTGCTCAGTGTCTGTGTGTACAGCGTTAGAGAACTTGCTGTTCTCCAGCAAAACTAATTGATAAACTGCAATTTTGGATCCAGAGTGATCTTTTTTTTTCCAGTCTTCCTGTGTTGTAAGATGTGATGTGACACTTTTGGATCTTTCTTTTTTTCTGTTTTTTTTTTTTTTTTTAATTTCCATTTTGGAAACAATTCTAGTGGATAAGATTTTTCAGGGTGCTGTGTAGCCTGGTAGAAGGGAAATTTCTGCCTAAAGAAAAATCCCTGTGATGTAAATGCCTGAGTTAGCTTTAAACTGTGTCAGAAGAGGTTTGCCATTTGGGGCAGCTGGGCAGATGTTGTTAAGAAAATTATCAATAGGATCTTTAGATTGCCTAGTTTGTATACTCTGAATTTGATCCTACCTTAGGAAAGGACCAAGACTGCCCCACACATGAGACTCACACCTTCAAGCTTGTGCATTGAGACGGGACCCAGGTTCCATCAGTGCCAGCAAGACCAAGATAGGGCCTAAACTTGAGTCTTGTGGAAAGTCCAGTCCCCAGACTTCTTAGAAATTAGCTCATTCAGGAACACTCGTATCCCAATTACTTTTTTGGTGCCAGGAATTCACTTGAATAACAATCATCAGAATTGGGACAAGGGGAGAGCAAAAGGCTTGCCTGAACACAAACCCCTTCTGGTCTCCTGAAACACCTCTAAGATGAGGATTTAAGATTTTTACAGAGATTCCCTCCTTTATCCTTTTTTTGTTTTAGGGCCAGGACTGTGCCACAGTGAGGTCTGGGTGCTTGGGGGATTTTGCTGGCTGTTCTCCCTGATTTTCTCTCTTTGCACGGAAGGTTCGATTTCCATTGTCTTGCTCAATGCTACGGGACAGGTTTGTGGTCACTACAGCACCAGTGTCTGAGGGGAACACCAGGTACTTAAACACACAAAGGAAACAGTAGGATGCTATTTTTAGCATCTCACTGAGATCATGTTTGACCTTGAATAAATTAGCAGGGTGTGATTTCTCAAGTGAGCCAGGTCATCTCCTCACATGGAGCTGAGTGAAAACCTGGAAGCCATTTGAAATGCCAGCACTGCACTGTCAGGATTCAGTTTGCTGGTGGAAAAAAAAAAGAGGGGTTAATATTTAACCCCTCATCCCCTTCAAAGTAATTTATGAATGTACATGAACTCCTTTAGTTTCATGCAGAAGTAAAAAGAACTATCGTATCACTTACTGCCACAACACAGTGGGACGGTATGGGGCTATTTTTTATTTATTTTTGTGAAATTGGACAGGTTTATAGGACAGTTTTATTAGTGTTTTGAAGGAACTCTGTCTTGTTTCATACCTTTTGTTTACACATCTCTTCTGCCAGCTTTCAGAAACTGGGACTGCAGTTTATTACAAAGAAGGATGGAAAAGATAAAGGATCTTCTCCACCTGCATTAGTCATAAATCACCCCAAAAGCCCATGAAAGGATTAAATGTGTGTATACCACTGGGATTTATTTGCGAATAAAACATACCACACCTACAAAATCTGAGGCAGCTTGGGGGGAAAAGATTATTTGTGGATATAAATTAATCAGGCAGCAGGAGGAGTAAATCTGTTGGTGGAGACAGAAACACTGTGAGCACCAATGAATGCCAGGACTGCACAGGCCATTGCACCTTCCTCCTCCTGCTCTCTCCCTATGCCATTTATTAATACATTCCCAACTCCCCCAGCATTAAACGAGGATGTTTTTAGTGGAATAATAATGGAAACACTAATTCCCATATAGGCAGGGCTTTAACCTCCACAGCTGCCGTGGAAAGTTACTGGTTTGCTGCTCTCCCCTTCCAGCCAGTGCCTGTGCCCGTATTTATTGGACTCCCTGGAGGTTCCTCATCCCAGGCTCTGGACCTGTGTGGCAAAGCAGCAAGGACACATTGTTTGGGGCACGGGGGGTTGTTGCAATGCCACAAACACGCCGCTGTTTGCTCAGAGCCGCCCGTGTGTCCCGCAGCCCATCCAGAATCCTTCATGTGCTCCTGGCAGGAGGGTCCAGCTTTGCCCTGAACAACAAACCCCCTCCAAGGGCTCCTCTACGTCACAGGGAGAATATGTTTGTTTTCCCATCTGCTTCTCAAAGTCAGGACATGCTGTAGCAATGACAATTCCCTGGAGGGAGACATGGGCATCATCTCGCCCTCTCTTCCCTCCCCCAGGGGAAAGTCCGGCTTGGGGCCACACCATCCCTGCCCAGATCATGGTGGGGACTCACAACCACTGACGTCCCCTTTGGTAGGGCTGCAGTGGCCCTTCACGGTGTTTATTTTCTTTGGGAATGTGCAGAGGACAAATTAGGGGGAAACAGAAAACGAGGAGCAAAGCTTTTGCCAGAAACATAATGGAAACAGCAGCCCCTGGGAGTCAGTCAGCACTAGAGTTCTAGTCTCTCCTGCAAGTTTGCCGAGTTTGATTTATGCAAAGCCAAGATCACACCTGAACCCAGCACCCCCAGGGCCAGCACGTCCCTTGAGTCCTCCCACTGCCTCACCACGAGTGACCTATCCCTTCCTTTTTACAAATACAATAAATACAGCAATATAATTACCACACAGTAATAGATTAATTTTTGTGGCAGGTAAAACATTAACTCCCGTTTGTATCTAATTCCATCACGTCTTGGGTACTTGCAGAGATAACACCCAAATCACCTTGAGAAAGTTGGTCTGTACCATCCACTTACACTTGAAGATTGAGCTTATCAGAACATGAGGGAAGCACTGAAATATGTGCCATAAAAAGATCTGGGAGAAAAACAGGCTGAGGCTTCTTAAAGGAGTTTGTCACCGGGGACCAGGTCTGCCTGGGTCTGTAGGGCTTATGTAAAATAACATGTGTGACTCAGTTGGAGAGGCAAAATTTGTACCTTTTCTTGAAAGTAGGCAAAAAGAGCCACATTAGCCCCTGGGAGCTGCATGGGGGAGCATCTAATATGAAACCAGGTGTAGAAGCTTGGTGGGGACTTTCCAAAAAGTCAGTGGTGACACAGATTTGGTCAGGCTGAGCGCTGGGTGCTGCTGCCCATCTTCCTGGTGTCCCAATAGAAGCCATGAAGGGTTAATCCATCCCAAACATTAATCATAGCTTGTGATTCCTATAACCACCCTCACCTTCAGGCTGGTGAGGGTCCCTGGCTGAACACTCCCCATGCACAGGGAGGTGCTAAGGTGGGTTAGTGGAGCTTCCCGAGGGCTGTAGTTGTTTTTTCCCTAAATTGATGACTGTTTGTAAAGGCTCCAGGAATATGTTTGTGTGTTGTCTCTATCACAAATCAATGTACCCATCCAGCCCCTTGCAGGCAAGGTTGATTTTGAGGTACAGAGTAGTTTTGGTGGCTGGAGCCCAGCAGACCCCCCCAGGCACAGCCAGGTCCTGACTGACAGCAAGGCTGAGCCCCAAATCCTGGAAAATAAATACTCCTGCAGATAAGGGGAGGTATTGATTTCTGTCACTGTTGCTTGTTTTCTGCCCTTTCACTTTGTTGGCCTTTCATCAGAGGCTGGTTAGGAAAACAGAGCAGCAGTTGGACAGGAGCTGACAAAAACCCACCGTCCCTCACCTTGGGCAAAACGGTGCCCACGTTCCTCCTTTGCAAGAATTCCCAGGAATGAGTCCTGTGCAGAGTGATGCTCTAAAACAAGACCCAGCAGTGAGGCAAAGTCCCAAAAGAATGATGGCAACATGATTATGTTGACTCTGCAAAAAAAAAAAAAAATCATTCCTGGAAAAATCTTCTCCCATGGCCACTTTTGAGACAAAACCACAGTGTTTTACATCCAAGGGGTTAAAGCACAGAGTGAGTCGTGCTTTGACAGCTTTGTCTGAGTCATTCCTCCTAAATAAAACCAAAGGAGTCTGGAATTGCTGGATGAAGGAGGAGGGATGTGTTGCACTATCACCACATGCTAAATCTTCCCGCTCCCTCTGCTTTAAGGACCTGACAACTGCCTTTCTGAGCTGTAGCAAGATGTCTGAGCTGTCAGGAAAACACCAAGTCTGTGTTCGAGCTCCTTTTCCCAGCCCTGTGTGCTGCTGGACAGAGGCAACAGGGCTTAGGGGAGAAACCAACACTGAAAACAGATTGGACTGTGTCTAAATTCTCCTTTTTTCTCTTCTGCTGTGTTATTTGATGGCTGCAGTGGAGGCGAGTCAGCTCTTGGAGCCCGTGTTGCAAAAATAAGCTGCTGAAGTGCAATCCATGCCTTATGTTCAGTGTGCAGGGCTGATGGAGAAGGGGCTGGATGGGCTTTGTGCTTCAGGGACAACAAAGGTTTAAAGGGTGGAATGGGTCTCAAAAATCAGTGTTTTTTTCAAATTCACTGTGACATGATCATAACTTTTGGTCTGCAAACCCTGGGACCACCACCTGTGATGCCTCAGGGGCAGGGGACATTTCAAGGTTGCTTTGAGGCGGGATTAGAGGGTGAGTTTTCCAATGCTGCTGTAAGAGGAGCTGCAGCCTCAGGAGCATCCTGCTATACTGGGAGCTCAGGGGAGGAGTCCTCAGTGCAGACATGGCAGAAAGGGTATCAAAGGCCAGGGCTCCAGCACTGTGGGTGCATTGCCGAGTGAAAAGGGTTCACACTAAATCCCTAAACTCCCCCTGAGCTGCATCAAACCCGGTGGGAGCAGCTGACGTCCCACAGGTGTTGCTCTGACTCCCAAATGGCCTCATCTCCCTCTCGGGCTTGGTCTTCTCCCTCCCTCAGAGCCTGTTTAGTCTTATTCCAGCATCCAGCAAGAGTGGAGTGTCTTGCAGGTGCTAAAGCCTTGTCCACTCCTGTTTAGGCACCACAAGGAGCAGCAGCCATGGGCTGTGGGGGGAATTTTCTCACCACCACTGTTCACTCTCTTCCCAGCCGTGCAGAACGAGCGCGACAGGATCAGCATCCGCAGGAGCAGCTACGAGGACAACGGCTCCCTCTCCATCCACGTGCTCACCCAGGCTGAGGCCATGGCACAGCAGGTATGACATGTGGAGACAGCCCTCCACATGGCTCTCTTTTTTTTTTAAGAGGTCTCTCTTTTTTTTAAAGTTTTACAATTCAGAAAGTGAAGTGGAAGTTGAACAGTTGCAGACAAAAAATGAATCCTCTTCATAGTCAAATGATTCTAAATTAAAAAGGAAAGAAAACAATCAAAAATCCTTATCAAGTTCTTTGGGAAACAGAAAAGGAGGAAAAAGTCTAAGGAAAGCCAAAACAGCTAATGTTGCAGTTTTTACAGTTACTCATATCCTATGATTCAGGTAAAGGTAATCCTGAGATTGAGGAAGCAAGGTAAAAATGAGCCAAAACTGGCTTTGGATCTTCTTTCTGTCCTTGGATGGCTCTTGCACAAACCCACAGGGAAGAAAATGCATTAGAGATACCCAAAAACAGATAGGAAAAATCCTTGGTGAGTTTTCAGGGTAAGATACCCTGTTGCTTTTGAGGTGTGAGGTACAAAGCTGAAATTCCAGGGCTTAGGGATGTTACAGAACCTGGGTCCCCTATTCCCTCATCCTAAAATTGTTGCTGCACCCCTAAAAACTCCTGGCATTCACATGGAAGTTTATCCCTCCTTGCTGCACACTCTGTCCTGCTCCAAACATAATGTTTCCCTCATGGTTGATTGTATCTTCTCTTATAACTTCTTTATCAGGGTAATAATTTTAGGGTGGAAAAACAATGTGAATAAAATCACTGGGCTTCAGCTAATGCTGATTGCATTTTCATTTCATGTTCCACCATGAATTTCACCCTGAGTGTCCTTTAAATTCTTATGCAAATACCCTTTTTCTACTGAAACATATGGTCCAGATGTTGCGTATTACATGCAGCAATGAGTCCACTTCCTTCTCAAAAATGATGTTTTAGCCCTCTGCCCCCCCCACGCAGCCCTTCAGAAATCAAAAAGGGTATTTTGTGTCCCAGACAGTAACTTGGAGGAGAAAGGCTGGATGCATTTCATACATTTGGCTGGGTTAAGTGATTGATAGGAAGCTGAGCCCTGATGCTGCTAGGAATGGGAATATTAATCAGGTTTTGTCCTGAGCCAGCCTGGAGAGTGGGGAAGGAGGTGGAGGAGGGAGGGGAGTGTGTTGGGACCGAGCACCACCTCGTGGAGGCTGCACCAGGGGCTGTGTTTGGATAGGACACGCTGCTGAGCAGATGAGTGTGAAACCACAACGGGAAACGACTCGTCAAGGGCCTCATGAGGATGAATTGCTGCTCTGGAGGGTGGGAAAGCAGCTTTGATCTGGTCCCAATGCAGCTGGATTGTTCCTCTTCCAGTATTTATCCCTGAGCCCGGTGCACAGCACGGACATTGCCATGAAGAAGGTTGCAACCATCCATGATGTGTGTGAATCCATGAAACAGCAGCTTCTGGTGCTGGTGGAATGGGCAAAATACATCCCAGCGTTCTGTGAGCTCCCACTTGACGACCAGGTAAAATGCAAAAGCCTTTTCCCTGCAAACCCACTGCCTTTGGTAGGAATTCCTAGCCTTGGATAGGAATTCCCAGCCATACCTTTCAACAGGAGAATCTGACATTAACATACAGATCACCCTATGCAGGGTGATAAACTAACAGGAGAGAAAGAGTAATAAAGGCCAAAGGATCAATTAAAAATAACTTGAGTAGCGAAGTCCCCTAAATATAATAGGGTTGGTTAGTCCAGTCTGCAAAAGGACCCAGCCAAAAAAGACTGATTTTCCCTTTACTGGTACCTGGCAGCTGAATGTAAAAGCTGTTTATTTCCTAAGAACTCAACTAACTCAAGCCCCTCTTTGCTCTTTTAGCTGAAAACAACTTCTTATTTAGTTTGCTGTGAATGTAGCACTTCTCAAAGTGAACATATTCTGGTATTTTCTAGCTCTTAATAGTACTTTATCTGTAGATCTGACAGATCTAAGCAAACGCCAAATTTGACTTAATTAAACAGCAACATCTCACCACTGCTTTCCCTGCTTTTTAAATATAATATTATGTCTTTCTTCTGTGCCCTCTCCAGGTTGCCTTGCTCAGAGCCCATGCAGGGGAGCACTTGCTCCTCGGGGTGGCCAAGCGGTCCATACCATACACTGATTTTCTGTTGTTAGGTAAGGTAGTGAAATCCACTCCTGCTTTTGTAATTCACTCCCCCAAGTCATTGCCAAGTACTCTGCCTACCTGAAATCCCCTCTTCTGGGCATGGTCTGCACACCTGGGATGAGACTCGGTGCTTGGGAAGTGTCTGGAGAAGCGTAAAAAGCAGCAAGTAAATTCAATGGGATTTTTATAACTCTTTCCTTACTGCTTTGAAATTGTGGGTGAGAACCTCCTCAGTATTTAACTGGCATCTCAGACTGTGCTGCCTTATTTTTGTAACTGAAATTGCTAAGACACAAGCAATGAGGTATTTGGATATCAGTCCTTAAAGACTTAGCAGAAAGGTCTATTAAAAATTATAGTGCACATAGGTATTTCCTTTTCATGCAGCTCTCTGTCACCAAAACCACGGGTGGGATTGTTCTTGGAAAAATGAGAATGTGACCTTGAAAGCCACACACTAAAGAAAAGAGGGAGGGATATATTTGTTTAAAAAAAACCCCACGCCAAAAATAAAGATGCAACACTGCTTACAAACAGGTGCTCGATATAAGAGAGGGTAAAGCAGAGCAGAACGTGGAGCAGGCTTTGTGTACAGTGTGGATGCACTGACGTGCAAATGAGATAATTAAGGACCAAAGAATGAGATCCATGGCTGGCTTCTCAATTGGGCATCAGATCAGGAAGCTGCAGACTGGAAATCTGCTGCAAATGGGCACCGGGACTAGCCGGCAAACAGGCCTTGGGGTAACTGCTGGCTGAGACTGTGTCTGCAGAGCTAGAGCCAACATCTAATGGCGAATTTTTCTTGTCTCCCCAGGGAATGATTTCATCATCCCAATGCACTGCCCAGAACTGGAAATCGCTCGTGTGGCCACCAGAATCCTGGACGAGTTGGTGAAGCCCTTGCGGGACATCCAGATCGATGACAACGAGTACGCCTGCCTGAAAGCCATCATCTTCTTTGATCCAGGTGAGCTTCCTCCTGACTGCCAGGATGGGCTTGGAGAGGAGTTGAGGGCCCTCCAATAACCAGGAAAACCCCTTGGCAGCAGCTCTGCATTTCACCTTGCCTGTGCTGTAACAGCCAGTGCTCAGCAGTGCAGGCATAAGTGACCTGTTCCTGAGTGTTTTGCTGTTTAGCAGATTAGAACTGCAGCCAGGCTAATGTGCAAGACTGCAGGCCCTGGAGCAGTTTGGCTGCTTCACTAGCTTGGCTTTGGGAAAGCCCATCAGCCTGAAATGCAGGAGATGACTATTAAGGACATATATGCCTGTAGTGAATTATGTATAAGCAAAGTGAGTCAGCAGAGCAGCAGTGGAGCTCTATCAGGGTCCAGAAAGCACCATTAAAAACCACAGAGAGCTGGGCTGGTCAGGGCACCCAGAAATATCAGGAATCTGCTAATGGATGTTGCTGGCAGCCAGCACAGGCCCAGGGCAGGGCTGATCCACACAGGACGGAGAACAGGGAAACACAGAGGCAAACAACAGCTTGTTTTGAAGCTTTGCTGTATCCTCATTCCAGAGGCCTGGGGGTTCTGTCTCAGTCCAGGCTCTCCCCAGGCACTGCTGCTTCTACAGCACACAAACAACCTCTTGCTACAGCACTGGGGTCCCTTCAGTGTGTATTGCCCTGGAGCTCAGAGAAGAGATAGGGGAACAACCCCAAGCCCAGAACAATGCCCTTTTATCCTTGGCATCTATTAGCATGGAGAAATTAGAGTATCTTCCAGTAATTATTGTTTTCTGCTGCATTTGCTGATTCAAAACCAAGGTCCAGGAGCTTTAGAAACACCACAAACTTCAGCTCTCCAAAGAGTGAACAGAGTGAGGGTGGTATTAGCAAATTGAGTTTGACAAATCACCTTCTCAGCTGATCAATGTCTCTGTGCAGCTTAAGATCAATGTGACAGTGAGGAGCTGAGGTTTCAGCTGAAAGGAAATACTGTGAAGCTCTACAGAAGTGAAGTTCATTCATGCTAACGAGCAGGCACGTCCTCAGAGCTGCATGCTGACATACAGTCATTTGTTAACCACTTTATCTCATCTCTTGGCACTACGATCCCTAAAACGTGGTGCCTGTGGTTTCTTTGTAGACAGTGAAGAAAATGGTGCAGTGATCCAGAAATCTCAGTTTTAGATACCAGCAGAGACAGCAGTGGAAAGCTGTAAATCCCAGCACTTCACCCTCCTCAAAGTCACATTTACTTACTTGAGCAAAGCTGGACCAGTGACCCATGAAAAATAGGATTGACCACAGGTCAAAGACAGGAGAGCAAGACAAGAACCTGTTCCTGCACGGGGTGTAATTACAACATATACAGGCACTAAAACTGCATGGATTTAGTGGTGGTAGTTGGAACTCAAAGTTTTCAGGGGAAAATTTGGGGCCCCCCAAAAATTTAACTTTGTATCATTTTTCCCTCTTGTCAGTTGTTTGGTTGGAAGAATAGTTATGGTTTAACTTCTGAATCTTTCCTCTTTACTAATGGCAGTAGGCAGACATGTCCACTTCAACCAAGCTTCTATTTTCTTACTGTTTCCCTTCAAAGTCTCCTCAAATTATTGTTTCCCCTTAAATTACTGTTTCCCCTAAAATTCCCCTTACTGCTTCCCTATTCCACATGAGATATCCCAATGCTAATCTATCACCTTACCTTGGACTCTGTCAAAGGATCACTTGCATCTCATCCTTTTCCCTCTGCAGAGCCTGACTGACAGGGCAATGCTTCTCTGGTTACACAGGCCAGCAATTAACTTCCTTTTCCCCCTCCCCAGACTGCAAAGGCCTGAGTGAGCCTGGAAAGGTGAAGAACATGCGCTTCCAGGTGCAGGTGAACCTCGAGGATTACATCAACGACCGCCAGTACGACTCCCGGGGCCGCTTCAGCGACATCCTGCTCCTGCTGCCCCCCCTGCAGAGCATCACCTGGCAGATGATAGAGCAGGTCCAGTTCATGAAGCTCTTTGGAGTGGCCAGGATCGACAGTCTGCTGCAGGAGATGCTGCTGGGAGGTACGAACACTGCTGAGGAAGGACATCAAAGCTGGATTATCTCAAAGCTTTTATTTACAGGGCTTCATGCCTGGGTTTGTGTCTTCTGGGGGATATGTGGTAGGGAGAACGGGGATGGTTTTAAACTAAGAGTAGGCTTAGATTTGAAATTAGGAATAAATTACTGTGAGGGTGGTGAGGCACTGGCACAGGCTGCCCAGAGAAGCTGCGGCTGCCCCGTCCCTGGAAGTGTCCAAGGCCAGGTTGGGTTGGGTCCTGAGCAACCTGATCTACTGGGTGGTATCCCTGCCCATGGCAGGGGGTTGAAACTAGATGATCTTTAAGGCCTTTCCAACCCCAACCATTCTATGACTCCATGAATTGTGGCTTGAACATGGGTCTCTCTTACTCCAGTCCAATCCCAGAGCCCTTTCTTTCCAGTCTAGCTCTAAAAATCTGACAAGTTTTATAGCGAAGGGTGCTCTCTGTGGTGTGTCACCAGTGGGGCACTTGACTTTTAGGCCTTCTACCAAACTGAGGCAGTTTGCAAGAAGACAACACACTTTTTGTTAGCACCATGCAGAAGTTATAACTATATGGGGAACCCTGATAAGAGCAGCAATTGGGACACACACACAGACAGAAGAACAATGTGGCTGGATATTAGTTGAAAGCCCAGACATCCCAGGAGGTTGTTCCTAGACAGTGAGAGGCTGACAGCAAAGAGGGGAGGAGGGCAGGAAGGAAGCAAAGATGAGCCATTAACCTTCACCCACAGAGGTCTTCCACATCCTCTCAATAAAGAAGATTTAGCCCAGAGCATCTGGTTTCTCAGTAACTATGCAAAGAATGATGTCTTTTCCCACTTCCTCTGCAGGAACCACCGTTGATGTCCAGTACCAGTCAGGACCTCCCAACCTCAACCTGGAACCGCTGCCAGGACACGTCCTCCAAAGCAACATGAACTCTGTGATTCACACAGCTCCAGACCGTAGGTGTCCATCTTCACATTGTTAGTGTCAGCATAATGAAGGGGCTGGGCAGGAGAAACAGTTTAGGAAAAGATATTTAAGTTTATTTATACGAGAAGTTCACAGCCCCTCTGGCTGACTCCTTTACTGGGTTAGGGAGATGCTGTGTTCTGGAAATGCTGTACAGTGGCCTGCAGGTTG